CCCCCCCCCCCCCCTCTCCCTCACTTGCAACGCCTGCTCATGCAGTTTGAATTATGAATTTTGCAACAACAGCAGCAGCAGCCCAGCAGCAGCCCTGTGTGCACGCGGACAGGCGGGAGGCGGGGCAGACAGGCGAACAGTCTCGCTCGCTGCTGAAAAACAAACGCGAAAGCGATGACGACGGGAGAGAGAAAGAAATGGTGAGAGAGAAAGGGAGGGAAGGGTTTCGCCGAAAACGGTTGCGCGTTCCTAGTTTTCAGGGAAGAAGAGTTACTTCGTTTGATTAAACCGCGAGCGGCGCGGTCCTTCGCACGCCCATCCACCCACTGGCACAAATTTTAAATTACATCATTTCCAAACAGTTGCCCAAACAGTAAAATTAGAGAATTCTCAATTTTTACCAATTTTTATAAACTTTCATAAGATTTTGTACCACCGATACTAATTGCTGCTGTATCACAGAGCCCGGATACAGAAAACTATAACAAATTTGATAACAAAATCTGTTATTTTTCTTAGAGCTTTATAAAAGGCATCAAACGCTTTGATGCGACGAAGTTTGAAAAGTTTAAGGAAAACACATATTAAGAAATTTGTTCGGAATTTGATAAAGATAAAGCCAGAGGATTTGACCTGCGGTTTACATAACGTGGTCGTATAAAGGTATCAAGTCTGGCCTGGGGGGTCGGCGGCGCGAGCTGGGGCGAAACAGAAGGGGGCAGGTGCGAGAGACCGGCAGAGACCCTTCCCCGGGGACCCGGCGGCTTGCCCCGGAGGGGCCCGGAGGGGGGTAAGAGGCAGAACAGGCCCCACTAATCGGCAGTGAGGAGGAACGCACCCTTCCCCACTGGGGGGGGGGGGGGGCTGAACGAACCGACAGTCTTGCGCGCTGCAATCCCCCGACAAATTAGAAAACACGATTATGTCCGCACCGTTAACTGCAGCGTGCGAAAAAATTATTTTGCCATAGGAAAGCTGATAGTTGATGACAACCACGTTGTACTTGCAAAAAGTTTCGTAAATATTTCAAAGTTTACGAACGGCCTCCTTTTTTTCATTAAGGAAATTCTCAAATAAAGGGCGTCATGCTTGTTATCACAGCAGCACACTAGACCATATTTCATTTATAATTCTTCAGGATCAAAGCAAGCCGAGCAAAACTTGTTTTTTTTTTTTAGGATTCTCCATCCATATGTACAGAAAATGCAAACAGCGTTTATCTCCTTTTCATGACATTCTTTTCCGTGCTCCCGCGCGTTTTCCCTTGTGTGTTTGTGCAGTTTTCCGTTCCACACGAATAACGCAAATGCGAACAATGTCTAAACCCACTCTCGGCACTACACGCTTTTTCCTCGCGGACCACAGCCAGCCCCGCCACCCCGGCGCTGTTCGCGTCGGGTGAAATTAGTGGTGCGGCCAACGACGAGCAGATTATCTCGGCCACTAAACACCCAGGAGGGCTGCCTCACCGTGCCGGTCGGGCCGGCGGCGCCGATGTCCGGGGTTACTCTACTTCACGGCTAGGCCGCGAGAAAGGCACAGCAGTAGCCCTGGCAAAACAGCACAGCACTTGACCTGGAACCCCCCCTACCCACTACGGCTCCCCCTTGGAACCCCCCATCCCCCTCCCCACCAATCCTCTCCGCTACGACCTGGCGCAAGGCACGCAGCAGCGGCTCGGAGGTAATCCGCGGAAGAAGCTGAGCATACCCTGGGATTAGCCTACGGTATGCGGTTAGGGGGCCTGGGAGCGGGGCGGGCCGCGGGCCGCACGGGGAGGGGGGGGGGGCGAGGACCGTGGTGTGAGACCATGTGTGCGACAACGTGTTGTCATCGCGGGTCAGCGGCTTGGCGCTGGCGGCTGGCTGGCG